AAAAGCAGTAGATAGATTACCTTGTAATAGGCTGTATTTTGGAACTCTGTGCTCTGTATCAACAGTCCTGAAAGAATGCAAAATTAAAATGTTTTGCATATGAGACAAACTTTCAGAATTTAGCTGTGATTATATAGCTGCTTTAATACGGAGAAAGATGACAGAATAGATTTTTCAGGATTAGACCTGCATTTAAAAAGTGTTAGTCAAAATTGATTGTGTTCTGGACACCAATTGAAAAGTACAGTGGAGAGTACAGAAAGCTTTTTCTGTAGATTTGGCTACATGAAAGATGTTCTTTGTAAGTCTTTCCTTCTAACTGTAACGGACACGGACTGGAATCCGTGTCAGATATTGTAGAAGACCCTATGCGATGCGGTAAGAGCTGGAGAAAACAGGAGGCGTGGTAAAAAGGAACACACAGGGGTTTAATAGTGCACAAAATAATAGTGACAGTCCGTGAGACAGTGTACGGGGAAGACAAAACGGCATCCAAATCCAAACGGGTCCAAGGGCAGGTCAAAGCACGGTCCGAAAGTCCATAAACTGGAAATCCATCCTGGAACGCGACAAAGTTAAAATCCCTGGGAGAGGGGAGCACACAGACAAACGAAACATGGAGGTCCAAGGGTGACGGGGCGAGATCCTCCAGACCCCGGGCTCAGGAAGCGGGAGGTGTCGGGGATGAGGCCTATGCCCTCAGGAGACGGATTTAGGGTTTCCTGGTGCTAGGCGGGCCTCGCGACATCTTACCCTAATGATGAGCCCCGAGGACTGGAGGAGCTGGTCTTTAAATAATAAGACTAAAAGGGTACACCTGGAGAGCTAAATGACACGAACAATAATGAGAGCAGTTGAGCGCCCTCTAGGGAGGGATGTCGGGCGTGACACTAACTTTGGAATTGGAACACATTCTTCCACATTGAGCCCTTCTACAGATGACAGAAGTATAGAATGTACTGTATAAAGAATGACCCACAAAAAAGTTGAATGGTACAAATTAGATTGACTTGGATTTGATAGTTACTTTAAACAACACCAGAGAACAGATCAACAGATGACAATTCTACCGAGCAATAATTGACAATATAAATGCCTGCAGGTTTCACAACTTTACAACTGTTGAAACCACTGGATACATATTTCCAACCGAAATATGCCAGAGGGGAAGGCAAAAACTGCCCGGAAAACCTAAGCTGATATTAAGGAATTTAATGTCTGGAACTAGGTGAAGACAGGCTAAAAAAGTCTCTGTCAACTTACAGTTACAAGCAAAACTTACCTTGTTACTTATGCGTAACACAAACATGGCTTCTCAGCTAAATAACACTGACAATAAGTCATGCAACCAAATTTAAATACAAAGTCTGGCTCCACTAGTCTTTGTGGAAATTAAACTTCTCACTCCAGAGAGTTCTGGTCTTTTTGTAAAATCCTGGCTGAAGACGCACCATTGTTCAAAGTCGGGGAAACCAAGAGAGCAGCAACTCCCATTTAAAGATAATCAATGCATGTGTTTCTTTTCAATGATGCTTTTTGTTAGTGTTGTGCTGTTACCCTGTGGAAGGTCTAAAGATGTCACTCTTATGAGATTAGTGCTTCATAATACAGTCATTTTGCCTTAAGCACTAAACTGCTGCTCTTTCCTACTGTAAAATAATACTATGATATATACTATAGAAATAATAATATAGACTGTGTATGTGTCACTGGCAGCATACAGTATACAAATTACAATTAGCATGAGATGGTGTACAAAATATATACAAAAATTATTTTAAATAATAATTCATTACGTACGTAGATTTACTTCAAGCTTCTTTGTCCATTTTGCTTGGTATTTAGTCCTTTTTCATTCCTATTCATTTAGTCACTTTTCATATGTCACAGCTTTAAATTCAAATAATTGCTCAGTGTGTTTTTAGATACCTCAATGGCAAAGCACCACATTCACTGATTTCAATGTTTTTTCTTAAAAGAAAAGGTAAGCCTTAAATAAGGAAATTAGCTTAATGCTCAAAAGTTATTAATTGAAAACCTCAGTGCAAATGAATTTTTGTTTTGATGAATACTTGGCAAATAAGTTAAAAATTATTTAAATAAATTCTATGGTGATTTCTATGTTGGTTTGTTAAGAATAAAGAAAATACCTGACAGTCATATTGTACAAGTAACCTTGGCAGGAACCACCATAGTGTCTGGAGTTTAGCAATGTAAATGTAAGTGAATACGAGTGAAACTGTTTGTAGTGTTGGTCAGCAATAAACCAGTAACACAATTCATTATTGTGTAGAAATGGGTTTACACAGCTTTACTGAAATTTCAGAGGATTACCTGGAGCTTAGTCACAGGTTGGCGAAACAATTAACAAAGACATTTCTTAACAATACAATTATTTCTATATTCAGCAATAGTATAACATGTTTTTGCTAAATGGATAATACATAAATACATACAGTAAAAGTACATTTTTTTTCATTTTTTAAAACTGTTGCTAATTTTTCAAGCATCATAGATGCACATCTACAGTATCCCCTAACGCTGATGGTACAACAAATTCTGTACCTCTGTTATATGTGAGCCCCAGAGCAATCACATTTTACACAAACATAAAAAGATACAGTGTAATTATTAATTATTATTAATTTATTTATTGTGCTGCACCCCACTGTAGAGATAAAATGTACTGTAATTCTTCTCAGGTTTTCTTTCAGGGTAGTAACCAGTTTTGAAATGGTTCTAGGAGGAAGCATATTTTCCAAAACATGTCCCAGACATGTGCAATGTGGGTGAGACCAGGTTGTAAAACTATCCATTTTTTGGGAGAGCTGTCTTATTCATTTTCCACCCAGAATGTTTTGTAGTGATATGTATGTTGTTATTGTTATTAGATGAATGAACCAGTAACCACATTAAGCACATATTCAGCTCTCATTCTCACATTCAGACATGAAAATGTATTTTCATGATATATACTGTACCTACCTGAATTCTGGTTGGACCTTCAGGGGCAGTTCAGATCTTAACAATAAATGGGCATTTCTAAACTGTTCTGACCATTTTCATGTGTGTGTGATATACATTTGGTGCAATTTGCAGTTTTAAACAATAGTAATGCACATGTATCACCAAAATTGCATGCTAGCACCCCCCAATGTCAAGGGATATAATGGTTTTGCATGGGTTTATCAAATAATATGAATAAGAACTTTTGTGGACTTTAATTTTATTAAACGTCTTTTATATTTCAGGTGGGTAGCTGCGTCAGCATGCGTAGGCTGCAAAGGAACAAGTTATAGGTTTATTCCATGCTGAAAAAAAGAAGAAAGAGAACACAATGTTTTGGCCGTGGAGCCTTCTTCAGGTGTGAGAGAGACAGGGCAGTAGGCAAAGGTAAAGTAACGGGAGAACAAAGGTTGGGAGGGAGGAGGAGTGAGAGGCGGGAGCAGGGGACAGAAAGAGAGGCCAATAAAGAGGTGTGAAGTCAGAATGGGTGCAGAGAGGTTTGAAATGAAACTTCCAATGAATGGAGAAAATTTAAAAGAACAGTAGTCTGTCGTTACGGGAAGGGAGAATGTGTGATCCTAGCTGCAGAATAATTTTAGTTTTGGTGGTCTTTCTGATGTATGAGTTTGGAAAACCATCTTTGAGAACACAGACGGAGAGATTAGAGTGGTCGTGGCCGTCAGAGGTGAAATGAGAAACAATGGGCTTGGAGAGATCTTTAACCTTCACAGCCCTGACGTGTTCTCTGAAGCAGTCTCCAAGTCTCCTTCCTGTTTCTCCAATGTAGATGGCTGGGCATTTACTGCAAGAGATACAGTAAATAAGGTTGCTGGAGGTACAAGATGCTGTCTGGGTGATCCGAAACTGTCCTGAGGGGCCTTGAATGAGTGTGGTGGTGGCTGTGTACTTGCAGGTGATACAGCGAGCTCTGTTGCAAGGGAAAGTGCCTGGTGTGGATGGTTGTTGACGGTGCTCAAGGGAGCTGTGAACAAGGAGGTTACGCAGATTAGGTGGTCAGCGATATGAGATGATAGGGCGATCAGAAAAGAGGGCCCCAATGGAGGGATCATCCTGTAGGATGGAAAAGTTGTGGTTAATGGTCCTGGGGATAGGAAGTGAGTTAGGGTGGTAAGGAAGCACCAAAGGAATGCGGTTGTTACGGCGGGAGTTCCTGATTGGGTTGATGTTCCGGGGGGTGTTTTTGGCTCGGGCAAAGGCCCTGTCAATCACACTTCTGGGGTATCCTCTGTTGATGAAAAATAAGTACATTTCGAGGGCTTGGTTCTCGAAGTCAATGTCGTCGCTGCATAATCGTCGCAACCCAAGGAACTGTGAAAAAGGAAGAGAGTTTTTAGTGTGGTTGGGGTGAAATGAGCTGTACAGGAGGTAGCTGTGTGAATTTGTGGGTTTGTAATAAACTGAAGTGGACAGTCGGGGGTGGTTGATAGACAAGTGGATGTCTAGAAACGGAAGAGTGGTGGAAGATATGTTAACCCTATATTTGAGGGACGGGTGGAAGTTGGTGAAATGGTGCAGGAAGAACTCAAGCTGATTGTTGGAGCATGTGGCGGCACCGACGCAGTCATCAATATATCGTTTGTAGAGGTCAGGAACAAACGATTTTATATTTGCTTTCAATTAGTTAACTGATTACCATATGCACTACATTTTCTCATTAGTTACAAATGTTTCTTTGTGGAATTCTATCTGAGACCTAGGTGGCCTTTTACTTTTGAAAATATAAAAAACCTTTTATAGTTTTGTAAGGATTCTCAGTCTAGTTTCTTTGAAAAGTTCTTATTTGCATTATGACTGGTATAAGAATCCTTAATGTCAGCTGTTGCTATTCCTTTTACACTGTTCAATAAATAGTTGAAGTCTAAGCGGATTAAAAAGCATCACTCAGTCTAAAAGGCAAAATTTTCTCCTGCTGTAATAAGTAAAAATCAGACTAGGAATAGCAACTCAAAAACCACCTCACTAAAGAGCAGCAGTATTTGTGGAATGCATAGATGTTTATTAGGAAAAAGCGTTGACAAGCAAATGAAACAAAGACCACTTTTTTAATGAATCTACAAAATAAAAATCCATCTGAAAACAAAACCTGTCATCCAAACCCATTTCTAAATAGTCCTTCTAACTTAAGCAAACACTTGCCAACCATAGAAAAAGTTAGATCAGATTTAAAAAGCATGCAATCTGCATTCTTGTCCACCTACAGAAGATCCAAAAACATCCTGATGTTAATTAGCCAGGCTAGTAAACAAGGGATGAAGAAACAGAAAAAAGCATGGGGGCTGTAGAACTGCTCACAATAAAAAAAGTCTGGGACTGGCACGTCGATATGGTGCGAGGATATGAACAGATGCCTTTCTGCGCAGGGAAACAGTCACCTCCAGACAATGGCACTCCTTCCTTGCTCCTGCAACTTCCAATCAGCAGGCTAGGAATGTCATCCCGCTTCTGCGGTAGACACTCTGTCAAAGAGAAGAGGTGGGAGGGGGAGAGAGGGAGGAAAATCTGCAATGAATTATCACTTCTGCTCCACAGAGGCAGGCCATTTTTCCGGTTTTGTAGACAACACTGGCTGGAATGTAATATTTTTGTTTAATCTGAACATTTCTGGTGGTAGAGTTATAAGCAACCACTTTGTCTATTAAAAAACTCTTCAATGTGGTTAACAAGTGGTTTGCATTACTATTTAAGGAAAACAGTAGACACTTGGATATATGGCGTTTCAATACTTTAATTAGCTGCATTGTTTATTTGAGGAAGAAGGAAGAGGGTGGGGGGTACTGCTATCTGCTAGAATCTGTACACTCAAGAGGTCACTTTTAATGGCCATTGCTTCTAAAGTAGTAATATCACTTTTCAAAGTTGCAAACCACTATTTCAAACAGGGCTGTTGAGCACATGCTATTCTATGGATTATTTTACAATCCAATAATAAATATAATAATAAAAGAAATAAATCACAGGTTCCCCATCTTATAGTTTATGTATGGATTGTGCCTGATCACGCATGATAAAATAGTTAATTTATTAACTTAATGATAATAGCAAGAACAAAACAATAATTAAATCAAAGCTTTTCATCTTCTCTAAGATCATATTTTATTAAGTAGGTAGCTGCGTTAGCATGTATAGGCTGTAAAGGAACAAGTAAAGGTTTCACAGCCAAAACACTGTGTTTCTTTTCCTCTCATACATTTTTCAGCCTATCTGCAGAAACTATTAATCTTAATACTGACAAGGAATAATAACTGACATGACACTGTAAGGATATGCACGATAAAAACTCAACACAAATGAAATAGTGAACACACATTTAAATAACAACATTTGATTCTTCCAAAAAACAAGGTATAGCTTTATAATAAGAAATTGATATTGTAAGTTCTCATCAGTACACAAACATGTCAATGAGCTTCTTTTTTTTTATCCATAAACAGATGGACCTATTCAGATTCAAGCTAGATAGCAGGAACACAACTGTGAAGCCCCTAACTTGTATTTCCATATAAAGTACATTTCCCATGGAACAGCCCAGAGGTTCAAACTCTCCTCTTTGAAGTTCCACAGCACCACCTGTAACTCTTAGTAGTATGTGTACTGTATATTCATAGATACTACCAAAAAACCCAAGACCACACAGTGACGAACTGCACTGAAATTAGCTCTTAAAAGTCTTTAGAGATTTTACTGAGAAGAAAGCGGAGTGTCTAAAATATAAACAGACCCACATAACTGCTGTGCTACTTGGAAAGAAAATTCAATTTTTTCTGCTTGCATTGGCATATTTGTCATATTTGGGGCTGTGTCACATCACTGCAATCATCAAGAGATGCATGTACCGTATGACTGCTGTCATCGATGTTTAAACCTTTAAGGCAGAAGAAACAAACATTCTTCACAACCCGACAGTGGCTTATTTTCTAAATTTTTTATGAATTCTATATGAATATGCAGTAATAAGTAACTACTGGCACTCGTTCACCAGAAAGAAGCTAGATCTTTTCCTCTATTGGCTCTTTTAAATACTTTACTTTCTCTGGCCCTCATAGTTTTGGAGTATCTATGGTAATTTAGTAGTTATGATATGAGCAATGATCTATTCTACACTATATAATTTAAAATAAAATACATTATAAGTTCAGTATGCAGTTTCTACACAAAACTCCATAAAAATATGAGGTTAAGCTAATAATTGTGAACTCTGGGCCAGGCTCTGAAATTGTATACAGCATGCATTGTTTTACACAGTGACAGAGTACAACAGGGGATTCCAGTCTGTTCAGTGTGATACACTTTGAATGTGACTTTCATTTATTTCACTTATTTCCTAAGTGTTTTTTGTTGATGTTGTTTTTGTTCTTTTACTTCCTACTTAAAAAAACATCTAAAACTGAACCAGATGTTCCATTGTTGGCTAATTTGCAATGTGAAATAATTTGTTTTGTTGCTTTTTTCATTTCTTTGTATTACCCCTCCCCCATCTCCAGATTCTCTAACATTGAAAATATAAATCTAGCTCAGAGACCAGACCCAGACAGTGGAAGGATTTATTTAAGAACAGAGAAAGAAACCCAGCCCTTTAAACAAGATACAGCCCTGGAACACTCACTGGCTGGGCAAGTCGGAAAAAGAAAGAGAGGGAGAGACAGGATATAACGTTGACTTTCATTCCATTCCAGCTAACCTGGAACCTATAAAATACAAAAGATTCCCTAATTTCAACCATCAAGACTTGTGTCCTTTTTCTTTACAGCTACTGTTTCTAACTCACATTATCTGAGATTTAAAAAAAAGATATCAATATTTATGCTGCATATGCACATCTTATACTGAAAAATAAAAACAAAAAAAAAATTTTTGAAAAAGGTTTAAAAATAAATGCTTCCATGTGCCTTACTAATTTAATTCTATTATTATTCATACGTACTGTACAGTATATCCACTCCTCTAAAATTAATGGAAAACCATTGATATTTCTAATAGCCTGCAAAGAAAAAATAATACAAATATACCAAATGTCATTCTTGGATCTCAACATTTATTTTTTTTTCTCTAACTGAAGATATCATTAGGTGTTGCACATTACAGTTAACTTTATCTAAAGGCCTGCATTGTACTTTTTCACAGAGCTCATGGAAACCTCATTTTTGTATTAAAACTAATCCCTGAAGACATTTTAAATTGCTCTCTGTGGTCCTTGAGGGCAGAACTTCTGGTCAGTATGACAGTCATGTCCAGAATCATATTAAATGTTTTAGTTAGATACATGTGGTCAAAACTCTCTAATGGGTAAATGAGTGCTTACAGTATATGTATTACTTCTTTGCACCTAAATAATTCCTCAATCTACAGTAAGTCTCCTTCCCTGAGGTTGTTAGGTTTTTGCTGCCTACTCCTACAATGACAGGGATTTCCTTAATACTTTAATTGAAACCATAATATGAATGATTGAGGTGGTCACACACAACAATACATGACCACCACTAGTATAGTATCACATCTTATCTGATCTAATTTTCATTTCAGTCTGTGACTTAAACCATGCTCTTCTCTCTTCTTCTATATACACATGGAGGAATACTATCACTTCAGTAATGTGATCTAATGATAATTAGTCATAATTTAATAAAAGAGAATCATTAATGCGATTTGACTGTATCGTACCCGTGTTGAAAACGAGTTGACATTCAATTTTTTCATAGAGGCCACCAAGCTGGGAAAAAATGCATCGCAGGGTAGATACAGTAAAATTAATTGTACTTCAACAAAATAAACTATAGCTGTACTAAAGAAAGTGATAAATCAATTAGGTTAGCATAATTTATTAAATCCAAATGTGAAAAATAAACTGTAGATGTCTGAACACATCTTCACTGTTTTTTCATGCATCTTAAACAGATCTGTATGCTATAAATACCTAAATATACATTTAAGAACCAAGAAAAACAAGCCCTTCTGGCCTCACATGTAGAAAAAGTTTATTTATGATAATGCTGTGCATTCTGTCGCCACATCAATTAGCTGAAGTCAAATGTTTGGCGCCCAGTTGCATTAAAATGACAGGTAGTCAGAAAATTATCTGCTTCTTCGCCAACAGTCAGATTTGCAGCAAGGAATTTAAATACTGGTAAACAAGGCTGTACGAATTTCAGGCTCTTTAGAAGGCAAACTACAGTAGATAACCAATAAATTAAAAATAAATGTTTGATAAAGGTGGTAAGACAAATGAAAAAATATTACCCTTGGTGTTTCAAAACTACTGTAAATTTTAGGAAGCCCAGAAGCACCATTTATCTTCAATCTAACCCACTCAGGATTGAAAGGAAATCCACTTGAGCACACAACATAAACACTTTCGAAGAGCTGAGTAGTTTCCTATTAGATGCAAGACACAAACGAAAAGACAGACTCTTTAATTGGAAATGGGTTGCAGTCCAAATTTGCCTTGATAAGTTTATAATATGCGGATGTCAGAAGGGAAGTAATAGAGTAATATCTCAGGGAACAGTTCCTTCCTGCTCAGAATGTGTTTTAATTTAGACTCTAGTCACATTAACAGTTCTGGGACTGGAAAGGATTTAAAAGAAGCCTTTTTTTTTCTTCACAGAATTAACTATTTATACTTTGAGACTGGAAAAGAAAAAAACACAACAACAAATTATTCACATATGTTTCTCCCTTCCTCTAAGGAAGTGAAAAGTATCTACCAATACATTCTTCAAAAAGACATCACACATCTGTTGATAAAGACAGTACTTTAAAGTGGTTGAATCTGAGGGAGTATTATAAGAATATTCACAAAACCATCCCTGGAGATACAGGGTCTCTGTAATACATTGTTTTACGTTCACAATTACACAGAATTACAAAAGGGTTAAAAAGTCGAATTAGAAATCTACTTTTTTGTAGATTAAAGTAGATAAAGCACAATTTGTAATACTTACATTAAAAATGCAGTAATTTTAGTTTTGTGTCTTTCTCTACTAAATAAATGGTTCTACTAGTATTGCAAACCATAACACAAAGCACAATTTTCTAAACCTGTCCTTTTATTGTCAGGTTGATGACCGCATACTCTTCATAATAGAGCTACAGTATAAGAGAAGGCCATTTGGCTTATAAAGTCGAATAAAAGTTTCTTTTTTATTTTCTTAAAAACAAAGACAATATACTATGTGGTAAACAAGCTGATGTTAGAAGTCCGTGTGAACACTGTGGAAGTTTAAAAAAAGGTCCAAATGTGACCAATGAAAGAAAAACTGCAGACAGTACTTCACAACAGGTGTAGTAAAAGTGATGTGTATCACTATACATATTTTGGGAACCCTGCAATGCACCCTTAAAGGCATTCAGAGGAGGTCTTTGAATCTGAAGACTTGTCATAGACATGTCCTGGTTCTCTGACACTGGCCTCAACTGTGGGTGGCTCGTCTTTGCTGCCCACAGCTATGCCAAGTCTGTAGCTGCAGGTTGTGCTGGTGAAGTCCAAGAATAACCTGAAACACTCTGATACAGGGAGGCCTGGTTTTTTGGAAGGGTGGGATGTATTATATATCATAGCTAAAATACTGCCTGCTGACAGGACAAGAAGGAAGAGGCAGCGTGGTTACAGAACCTCACACAGAAAAGCACAAAGCATACAGCTGAAGTACATTCCTTCAGCCCAGTAAGTGACCTTTGCTGATTTTATTTGCCATATATTAAAAGCTCTGAAGACACTCAGCAGCTATGCAGAGGAGATATATCAAATCTGTAACTGGTCAATGTAATAGTCTACACACAGAAAAAGCAACGCTTAGGAATGTTATTACCAAGTCAAGTTTAATACACTCCAGTGGCTCACTGTTGCACATTTACACATGCTATTGGTTATCTAGTTGATATACTATAGACTGCGGAAATATTGCACTGACCCAGGACAAGCCACAAAGAACATGGTGAGGCAAAAACCTCTCTAACCGTGACAATGATCTTTTATTTTATACAGTGTATCATCCTACAGTTAGTCAATGTGTGATGGAAATGTGAATTTGTCAGTTTTCCTAGGACTTCCAGTATTCATTAAACTCAATATTATATACAGTAAGCTGAAAAGTTAAGTTTAAAGTAGAAGTTACTTACACTATGCATTTGAGTGTAATTACTATATACTTAAAATCTTAAACATAAGCGCATGTATTTAAATTCAGTAGTTCCTGTATTAAGAGAAAGCACTAAATTGAATAATTATATGTAAAATCTAAGAAAAATAGATGTTTTGCACTTTCTCAGGTGAAATATATACATCTCTGAACTAAATTATATAGTAAAATGCATTTTTTACTGTTTTAAGACATTGGCAGCACACCTCTTTAAATCACCCCTATCTCCCAATCATAAACTCCTAAAATCAGTATATTCTGAGTGCTGGTTACGGACCTACAAGGATATTATATTGGCCTGTTCGTACCATTTTCTGTGTGGCGTTTTCATAAAAAGGAAAAAAAATAGTTAAAAACCAAAACAAACAATGTTCATAATGACAGCTTAGGGAAATAATAGTCTATATCCTCAAATCTCTAGGGTGGAACAACATTGATCTCAAAGGAAAGTGGGACTTAGTTGAATTAGCTGCTTTATTAGTAAGAGAGGAAGTAAAAACTACTCAAGTGGCTCCTTTTATTGTTATTATTATTATTTTTTAACTAGTGTCCCAGGCTGAGTGAAAAGAAAGTTGATCATGTCAGGAAGCCAGGAACCCTCTCCAGGCTTTGTCGAGCAAGGAAGGAAGAAAATTGTTTGCACTCGGCTGCTCCCTGCTTCTCCTTCTACAGCTCTGCCAAGTTAGCAGGAAGGGGAGAAAGATGAATAACTGAGAAAGAAAGATGTTTATCTTTGAACAGAACCATGATGTCCTCTGTTTAGCCATGGAAGCCAAGACATTTAGTGCATCTGAAAGACAGATAGTCTCTTCTCTTAGAGAGATGATACTCCAATTATGACACTCCTGCCAGAGGGAACTCACACATGCAAGCTATTATGTAAAATATCTTCTTTTTTTAACTCCTACTACAGTGAAGGCCATTAGACATGGTTTCTTCAGTGCAACAAGCCAAATATGAAAATAAATAGTTTCAGGTATTTTTGTGCTCATGGTGACCACAGTTCCTTGGGTTATGGGGTTGAGCTTTTTTATTTTTTAGCTCTTCTCAGATTTCAAAAGGCAGGATGCTTCCTTCTTTTTAAGTTCTTTTTTTGCATTTGGAAATGACTATATAAATAGTTCACAAAAGGCCCAAATTGAACAGTCCATTGATATTACATTGCACATTTCTTCTAAGAAAGCCACTCACACACCTGTAATCCAGCATACAGAATAAACATTAAAATCAGTTAAAAGAACAAGAATAAAACATGTGTGCTCTCATATTGTGTTAATTGCTGACTTATCAAGCTATTGATTAAAAAGTAAATTACCACTTTGGAGAAGAACAGCAGCTTCAAACTGATATCCATGCTTTATTTTTTACAAGATGAAATTTGAAAAATGATTTTATTTACCCCACCTAGTCTACAGCAGTTGTGGTCAACCATGTGGGCCGAAAGCAATGTAGACTGCTTGCCAGATGCAGTCCTAAGATTATCAGCCTTCTCTGATTTAGGGTTCTCTGATTGATACAGTATCTCCACTTTTCAGGTTCAGCACAGGCACTTTCCCCACACACTACCTACCTCTTCCTGTCAGTTCCCAGCCTTTCCCCTGGCTCATTTTCACTTAATTTAAATGACAGGGATTTATTTAATCAGGGAAGTGAGCCATAACGACCAAGGGATCCCATACAGGCCTCCTCATCAGTATTAAGTTCTAACTATCTGACCAGGTCACTACTGTCCAAGTCAGCTTACAGCAAATAAAGAGTTTTGGATAAAGTGGGATCCTGAATTATTTCCTTGAGTTTGCCAACTTGATAGAAAGATAAATAGACATTTTCTGGTGAACAGATAATTTATTTTCACCTCATATTATTAAATAAAGTTACATATTTCTATATTCTCCTAAAAAAACATATACCATATATATAATCAATTTTCACTATCAGATTCCTTGTAATAATAAAACAAAATATCCATGAATAAAACCAAAGGTACAGCTGTTTCTTTAACTTTCTCCTTTACCAGGTGCAAATGAAAAAAAAAAGATTTCATTCAAAAAGGCAAGAGAACCAATGCTCATTCCTCCCAGGGTGCTGTCATTGGTCTAATGCCCTTGTTAACACATGATGTATTCCAAAAACATTTGTTGTGAAGAAACACCATTCTCTTTTGTTGATAGTCTTTCAGAGTGTGTCCATTACATTGCATATCCAAAATAAAGAAACTACTTATTTGATTAAAAAAAGCTATTTTACATAGATTAAGAGTTCCTGTTCCTGTTCGTTTTCCCCTTGTCTACCAGAACAGGAAACCTGTTTTGTTTTACTTCCTCTTTGCTGGTAGGTGACAACCTGCCTCTGACCTCTGGCTCTTCCTCCTCCTCTCTATGTTTCACAAAAAACAGCTCCAGGTAGACTGCTCCCTAATCTGAACTTGTTGATATCTAATAGTTCATATGAAAGAAAAGATGACCAAATTCCTTATTATTCAATTTGGGTTAAGAAGAAATCCCTCACCAGGTTTGCTTGAGAAACATTAAAACCTTCCAGTTTAACACCTTTATTGCCATTTTGTATTTTAGTGGTTATTGCCACAAAGTTACCAAATGTAAATGTGCCACAAACATAATGATTCACACCAAAATCAATATTATACTGTATAACCTTGACAGCAACCCCACCTTGCCATTAGGGTTAGATTATGTTGCAGTCTGACTTCTTAAAATGAGAATCCAACTTCCTGTGATAGTCTTTGCTTTAGACAGACTCTTTTCAAGTTAGGACCATTGTATTCAACTGTATCCTGTATCCATTGTATACAGTATCAAACTGTTTTGATACAGTATACTGTATACCAACTTACATTAGATTTGAATTATGTTGCATATTGTTCTTTGACATTTGAAGTTATCTTTGTTATTTATGACTATTTTTTTTATTTTACTCTTCTGGGACAGTTTAAATTGTTCTAATACTGTAAGTATGTTAATTGCCTGGATTTTGCCAATGTGGCCATAATATAGTAGTCTCACCAAAAAAAGTGTGATGTTCCTAGATTTGGTAAAAAAACCAATATGTTGATATTACCTCTTCTACTAACAATAAAAAATATTTATTGTTATTTGATTTTATCATACCACATATTTTTACAATTCTGGGCATGAGGGATGACAGAGAAGAGAGGGTTGCTTTTTGGAAAACATGTGAAGTGGGTAAAAAATTGCTTTTATTTCAAAGTTTTGACCACATTTTCTTTACTTTGTTGTCCAGACTCTTTGTTTAATTATTGGTGCCAATACGAATGCTGGACCTAACCCAACTCTTGACAGACTATGTGCAGCAGGGCCCCTTTCAGAATGCTACATATACAGCTCTGTGCAGATTTATGTCTGAGTGTGTGCAAATTGATGTTTAGTGAGTGTTTAACCTGTCAACCGGATTTAATGTTCTTTCCTGACAGACTGAAGCCCTGGTTCTGCAAGTGCCACTGTTGGATTAAATCAATAGAGGGTGGCATAAGGACTCTCCAGAGAAAAACAAAATAAGTGCATTAGCACGAATTGATAAGATGAATCAAATGGTTTGCACAAGAAGAGGTTTTGTAGTTTTGAGAAAAAGAATAGACTGGTAACATCTTGCGGCAAGACAAGCTTGAGGAGTAAAAGTCTATTCTAGTGGTGAGACAAAGCTAGGTTAGGATAATTTTAGAGCACAGAAGAGGGTGACTGATTAGGCTCATTACCTACTGTATGTGTTGGGCCAGGCTTACATAAAAGAGTTACAGCTAAGGTTTAGCTGAAACCAGTTGGCCTACTTTCCAGTCCTTTTACCTTGGTTCCCCAAAAGAGACAAACAGCCAACAAACAGTGGGATATCACTGTCCCATGAGCAGTTGACTGAATATTAATGCTCCCAATAGTTCATTTCTCTCATCATACACCTTAAGACAGGAGAAGAGTAGCAACCAAACTTACTAAGTTGTTTGGCAGACTTGTCAATGTTTCTTCATCGGTGAAAAAGTAAGTGTAAGGAGTGGAATGTCCTTACATTCCCTCAGGAAAGAGGCAGAAGTTAGGGTGTCCCTCTCCTGACTGACTTATCAGTGCCATTGGTATCAAAGCTCAGTCATTCATCTTTGGGGTGGTAATATCCCATCAGTTGGCGGCTACTATTAGAAATGGAAGAGAACACAGGTCACTGAAATCTGTTTGGCAAGCATTAAAGACAGAAGATAAGGTGTTCCTGTTTGCACTTACACACAACAGTGAGCACAGAACATTAAATATTGAAATCTCCACTTTCATTTTAAGTAATAAATACTAGCTGATTGCATATGTCTAAAGCAAACATAACTACATAAAGATTAAAGTTAAACTCATGCTGATCACATAGATTATGAATACAGCAATACTTTACACTGATGTAAAAATAAATTCAGTGACCCAGAATGTTGTCATTGTATATCAAGCAATTCAAATAGCTACTTTGAGAGTTTATTGGTCCCTCTTTCCTTTATCTTGCCATGTAGTGCAAAGATGAGCACTGAATCTGAAAAAAATAGTCTTAAATGTTTTAAAATACAGGAGAATATTAGCACCTTCAATTTATGAAAATGGATTATTTTTCCAGCCGTAATTCAAACAAAAGAGACATTTTTGCATGCCATCACTTCAATTTGGTACTTATTTTGGCATTTCATTGCAGATTCCAACTCCAGCTCAGTAGAAGGTTCAAAGCAGGTCACAAAGTAGAACCAATAATAAACTACACTGGGGGCACTGCACACCTGAAGATAACATAGCTATTTGAATATGCCTGAAAGCAAAAGTTGAAAAGTCACCACACATGACTGAAAGAACAGTTTTAGAGTTGGGACCCTGATACTATAAGCTTGGTTTAAGGATCACAATTTAGTACCCCCTTCATCAACACTGAGAAAAGAAGTGCCAGAGAGTAAATAGGGCTTAGCAGTATAAGCTTCAAAATACATAAATTAAAAATTATGCTTCTGTGCAAAATTTATCTTGTCAAAATTAATGGTGAAACCCATGATGAGCTAATCAGCTCCACAGCTTCCACTTTTCTGGAATTGCTCGTCAGTCTCAAAGGCAAATTGAAACAGTGCGTTAATGTATAAAGAAACAGATTAGAAATGGAAATATGGCATACATGTACAAAGACATAAGTCTGTCTAAAAAAAACTTGAAAGAGAATAAAACACCCTGGAAATATTTTAGTAACTTGTCCAGAGACAAAATAGAGACAGGATTGTGGAAATTGGCTTGGAGGATCACTTCCACAGCCATATTGAAATGCTGAAATAAACATGGCTGTACCCTTTACATATTCATGACCAGACTTCAGGATTTGTTTCAAATGTAACTGGATGTACTATGGCAAAACATCTGCGTGTAGGAGTCACACTACTCAAAACAGTGCAATTATACCTTAAGTACTGACATATACAGTAGAATTTATAATTGGTCTATGGAAAAAAAGAATTCATGCATTTCATTTAGCACTTAAAGAAGAATGAGTTATCTTTGATATACTGTAAGAGTTTCATTAACATAATGGAATAATAAATGCTATTTGGTATATTTAATGTACTCCAATGTATTGATCATTTTAGTGTTATAGTTCTATTTGTATGTTTTTAAAATAACTGCTACATAAAAAAACAGATGCTCAGATGAACATTGTCAAAAGTGAATTTGGAATAATCAATTTATTAATAAATAAGAATGTCACACTCTGGATAGTTACAACTCTTGCTCATCAAAATGGAAAGTTTGTAAAGATTTATAGTTACAATATGTCTTAGCCTGGCCCTTCATTAGCTGCTGAGTATAATTCTTCTAAATACCGCCACATTACACTAATCACAAGGAATACAAGAACTTCTGTTAATGCCAGTTTTACCCCAGTTATGCATCATACAGGCTATGCTGTTCTCCACTGGGTAGGATAAAGTAAATTGGACCACTTTCTATTGTTTTGTTCCCTAAAATTGATTAGATTTCAAAATAATATAGTCAAGGGTTTCAACACTGATCTACATTAAGTTGCATTTAGAATATGAGTGGCTCATTTGGTTAAATCCTCTGTCCAAACAGAGAGATGATGCCGATAGAACGGAATGTGCCATATAACAGCAATGGCCTATAGTTTTAAGGGGCTGAGTTTCGTAGATGACCCTTGACTTGTTGCACTATAGAAAGTGCACATCTGCACATTAGTGCACAGCTGGTGCAGCTGTGTCTGTTCTCAACCTGGCTCACAAGCTGCTATTTTGCAGTAGCAAAAACAAGACATCACATTTATGTTCTTTCAATTCGCATCATACATTATGTTGAAATAGTGATCACTTGGGACAAAGAATAATTCCTCCCTCTTCTTTTTTTAAAATGTAGAATTCCAAAACGAAGTACAAAAAGCTCTGCTAAGATGCTGAATGGTGTATGGAAAAAAGGCTCAGAGATAATGCTGCAATCACACAGGCCCCCAGCAAAGCCAAGGAAGTTGCTGATGTGTCAGAGTAAGAAAATCCTTGTCAACTTTAAACCAGTCTAACCCTAGCAGTGCACAGCTAACTGTGGGGTTGTGCTGCCCCTTGGGAAATATCAGATACTAACGGATAATGACAGAGCTCAGATTAAAACCAGTAATCTCCACAGCTAAGGGCCCAACCTGCCCTAATTTTGAACGCAGGCCTTTTTTCAGTTAACCCATTAGGAAGCTACTGAAGGGTAATAAGATAGGGCATAAAAAGGTAGAATCCCTGATGACTACACCTTTCTAATGTAAGAAAAAAAAATACTGTACATGGAAATAATCTTATGGAAGTATCAGTAATATATAAAGCAACTACAGGAGTAAACCATTATGAAAATAAAAAAACTGATTCTAGCTAAAATAGATAATAATACTTTTGCCCAGAAGCAGTAAAATGTGGTGTTATTACACTAGAAAAAACAGTCTCTTAGCAGAAGGTTTGTCTAAAAATAAAACTACTACCTTTATCTACTACCCATGTTATTGAACCCAGACCAAGGGAAAACACTCATGAATCACCTTGATTCTAGCACATGAAATTACAGCTTCATAAACCTAACATCACGAATTGTGCAGATTAAAACCTATGATATGACCTCTTTCAGATTATGACAACTAAACCAAATCAGCTGTTTTCTTACTGCTGAGTTATTTAAGAAAGAAAAAAACACTCATTTAGATACAAAAGAGGATTTATATACATACAACCTCCCATGCACACAGTCACCAACCCACATGCATGCAAACAGAAATACGTGAACACAAACATTGCGTTATGTGCAATGATTTGAACAGAAAGCAATGACAAACAGGTGTGGCAGTGCCTCGAGGAACCACAGCTGCAACGTCTCGCTCATATCAGCTTGTCTACTTGAACTGGAACTCTTTTTTATTGAAAATGGCACAGAGTGCACATCTCAATATGTATATATAAATATGAATTATAATTGTTTTAATAAACATGATAAGACAAATGTACATTAAAAGGACAAAAAGTTTGACTTCGCCTATCCTTAGAGTTTCATCTCTAACTAAACACATAACAGTTGAACCTTAATTGATTTCCCACATTCTGATTGATTCCATTCCATGTTTAACATAGTATTAATGATAAATCAAACCATACAACCCCAATAAACTATGCCAAACACAAAGAAATTAAGTTTAAACTCAATGTGGTGCACTAGTTCTGATTCATCTGCCAGCAGAAAAATGTATTCAGATGCCTCTGATACGGTGTTGATTCAGTGCATTTCCTATCCTTGCTGTCTTTGAAAATACATATTTTCCTTTACAATTTGTAAATGGTAGGAACAGGAAAATGTGTCATTTATTCTCAGAATTTTCTTGATTCTAAGAAATGTTGTATAAATGTACACAAAAGTAAATGTTTACTGAAGACCATTAGCAGTTTGTCTGGAGATTTATCAAGCTCTTCCTGTACAAACAATATGAACTGCCTGCTTTCATCAAGGACATTTTGCTCTATGCTGTTGGGGTAAACCGAGTAAAGTTCAGCAGTAAGCATGTGATTGTCAAAAACTAAGCAGGGGGTTTCAAACAGCACACCAAAGCTAATGTTCAGCAACCCACCAGCAGAGAAAAGAAGATAATGACTTTGAAATTCCAACAATAAAAATTTCAATGGGAAATTCTGCACTTCATAATTTGCAGAATTCTGCCCAAATTTGGTAAGGTCAAATAGAACCTCCTACTGCTTAAATGTACAGTATTTTTCAGGTACAAGTACTTTAAGTACAAATTATTTTTTATATCTTACAGCATTTTATACAGGCAGCATGGTAGCATAGTGGTTAGCATCATTGCTTTGCAGCACCGGGGCCCTGGGTTCAATTCTGGACCTGGGGTACTAACTGCGTGGAGTTTGTATGTCCTACCCGAGTTTATGTGGATTTCCTTTGAGTTCTCCAGTTTCCTCCCACATTAAGTAAATTGTCTTCTGGAATACTTGGCCCTGGTGAGTGTGTGTCCTGCAATGATCTAGCTCCCATTCAGGGTGTATCCTGTTTTGTGCCCATGACTTGCCGAGATAGGCTCTGGCTCCCCCACAACCCTGAATTGGCTGAAGCAGCTAGAAATTGGATGTTTTTTCATGTGTTTTTAGTTTCATCTTCAAAATTCTGAAACTGTTCTCATTAGGAAGGCATGATTGCAATATCTTAGATGCTGTTTGTTCATATTGATGTTGCTCTTCTGTTATTCTGTGACTGCAGGCTGATCATTAACATCTGAAGAACATCCATCCATCCATTAAAAAAGAACGCTTACTCTTGGTTAGAGTTGAAGCAACCTGGATTCTATCCGAGAAGCACAGGTATTAAGGAGGGACTTCACCCTCGATGGGTCACCTGTTCATCACATGGAGTGTTTGTGTGACACATACAAAGAAAATTTAGACACACCAATTAGCCAAGCTGGTTTTGGTGGGTAAACTGGAGTACACAATGAAAAACCTTGACAATACTGGGGAGAGCATGTAAACACATGGAAAAGTGTCACAAAAAAGCACAATAATTTGGCTGTGTCCAAATTTTTCATTTCACTCTGGAGGGAAGCCATATCCAAACAGGTGTCATATGACTGGTCTGTACT